CACTCGCAAGGATGTTTACCCACTGCCGCGCATCGATGGCGCAATTGACAGCCTTCACGGAGCCGAATTTTTTTCTTCTCTCGATCTGCGCTCGGGGTACTGGCAAGTACCCATGGCTGATGACGCTCGACCGAAGACTGCGTTCATCACACCCGACGGCTTGTACGAATTCAACGTCATGCCGTTTGGTCTATGTAATGCACCTGCGACCTTTGAGCGCATGATGGACACCGTTCTGCGCAACTTGAAATGGCACACGTGCTTGTGTTACCTCGATGACGTTGTTGTGTTCGCTCCAGATTTCTCTACGCACCTCCAACGTCTGAAAGAAGTTTTTGCACGTGTCAGCAATGCCGGCTTGCAACTAAATCTGAAGAAGTGCCGCTTTGCAGCACGGCAACTCACCATCCTTGGGTACGTCGTGTCCAAGGATGGCATTCTTCCTGACCCAGCCAAGCTTCGGGCCGTGGCCGAATTCCCCAAACCAGCGTCCGTCAAAGAACTGCGTAGTTTCGTGGGCCTGTGCTCGCACTTCCGACGCTTCATACGAAACTTTGCCACGATCATATCACCACTGACGAAGCTCCTTGGAAGTAACGGGTCCCTCAATTCGTGGTCGTCTGAGTGCGACGACGCGTTCGCGAAGCTCCGCCATGTGTTGACATCTCCTCCATTCTACGCCACTACGACCCTACGGCCCGACGGAGGTGCACACAGACGCCAGCGGTGTAGGCCTCGGCGCTGTCCTGGCGCAGCGCAAACCCGGATTCCCTGAATATGTCGTAGCATATGCAAGCCGTACGCTCACGAGAGCTGAGACAAACTACACCGTCACGGAGAAAGAGTGCCTGGCGATCGTCTGGGCTCTTACAAAGTTTCGACCGTATTTGTATGGTCGCCCATTCGATGTCGTCACCGACCATCATGCACTATGCTGGCTTCTTCATTGAAGGATCCCTCAGGCCGTCTCGCCCGTTGGGCTCTTCGTTTACAAGACTACGACATCCGCGTGCTGTACCGCAATGGACGCCAGCATGCTGATGCCGACGCCCTCTCGCGCTCCCCTCTGCCTGAAGGTGATGTGCTCTGCTCAGTATCCTCGGCTGCTGTTTCTGCCATTGACGTTGACATAATCGCTACCGAACAGCGAAAGGATAATTGGATCGGCCCGCTGATCGACTTGCTCTCTGATCCATCCGCAACGCCATCCACGCGTGCATTGCGTCGTCAAGCTCGCCATTTCGCCATTCGTGACGGCCTTCTACACCGACGCAATTACGACGCCGACGGCCGGCAGTGGTTACCCGTGATACCCCGCAGTCTGCGGTCAGAGATATGTGAATCCTTCCATTCTGATCCGCAATGCGCGCACTCTGGGGTATTCAAAACCTACCATCGCATTCGACAACGCTACTTCTGGCGCGGGATGTACCGCTATGTGCAGCAGTTCGTTCGCTCTTGCCTCACTTGCCAACGCCGTAAACCGTCAGCTCACATGTCGCACGCCAGCCTACAACCGTTACCTTGCCCTGAACGTCCCTTTGGGCGCGTAGGTATCGATTTGTATGGACCACTTCCTCTGACGTCGGCTGGTAACCGCTGGGCCATCGTTGCCGTTGACCATTTAACGCGATACGCCGAAACCGCCGCTCTCCCTGCGGCTGCTGCGCGCGATGTTGCGTCCTTCCTGCTGCATCGATTTATACTGCGCCACGGACCACCCCAAGAGCTTCTCAGCGATCGAGGCCGTGTCTTCTTGTCGGAAGTCGTCGAAGCCATTCTGACGGAGTGCCATTCTGTCCACCGCAAAACTACTGTTACCACCCACAGACGAATGGCCTCACCGAACGCTTTAACCGCACTCTCGGCGACATGCTTTCTATGTACGTCGCTGCCAACCACACTAATTGGGATAATATACTGCCCTTCGTCACCTACGCCTACAACACCGCCCCTCAGAGCACGACTGGTTTTTCACCTTTCTACTTGCTGTACGGAAGGCACCCGTCGCACACCATGGACACAATACTCCCGTACACGCCGGATCCATCTGATTGTACACCTATTTCCGAGACAGCCAGGCTTGCTGAAGAGTGTCGCGAGCTTGCCAAGACTTTTACGACGGAAGAGCAAGAGCGGCAGAAGAGTATCCGTGATGCCAGCACCACTTCTGAGCCCACGTTCCTTCCTGGTGCGCTTGTATGGCTCTCGACCCCGACCTCTGCCGCTGGCCTCTCTTCCAAACTACGTCCCAAATACGAAGGCCCCTACCGTGTCATCGAGTGCACCTCACCCGTCAACTATCTGATCGAACCCGTTGAACAATCTTCGGACATGCGCCGCCGTGGGCGAGACATCGTCAACGTGGAGCGCCTGAAGGCTTATTATGACCCGCTCATAATAACAAGCTGTTAGGTCGCCAGGCGGCTCCCTCTTCGACCCTTTCGGGGTAATCAATGTCGCGTGGGCGTCGCTGGGAGGCACGGCAGCAACTTCAGGGTACATGGGTATGGGGCGTGAAGCAGGTGGCTGTACGGGCGCAACGCCGGTCAGCGATGTAAGAAGTTCTGTCACGCAAGGGCACTCCCGAAGACTGTGTAGGGCGCGGTGTAGGAGGTGTGAAGCCCATAGACCGCGATTCTTCACGTATAATGTCCTGGATGAGGTCACGCAGGTGGCCATGAGACGTAGAGTGGTGGTCGTCAATGTCCGGTTGGAGGCGAACAGAGTCCAGCGTATCCAGGCGCTGGCATGTCGTCACGACATCGGCGATGGTAGCTGGGTTTTGCACAGCAAGTACATTAATGGCAACAGGCCCAATGCCTTTCAATATGTGGCGCACTTTGTCCGATTCCGGCATGGATTGATTGACACGCCGGCACAGTGCGAGGACATCTTCGATGTATGAAGTGTATGATTCACCGGGATGTTGTCGGCGAGTATCAAGTGTCCTCTTCGCGACGGCGGATCGAATTTCCGGGGTCCCAAAAACGTGTCGCAGCTGCTGCTGGAAGGTAGCCCAGTCGGGTAGGTCAATGACGTGGTTAAAATACCATGTCTTAGCGACTCCGGTCAGATAAAAAGGAACGTAACGCAGTTTGGCGGCCTCGTCCCACCGATTAGTGACACTTACACGGTCGTAGTCGTCGAGCCAGTCTTCTACGTCTTCTCTAAGAAGAACAGCGAAGAGCGGGGGTTCCCGCTGATGTCTGTGTATGTAAATAGAAGGTGCAGCTTGCGTCGGTGCGTGGTTGATGACATCAGCTCCGGTAGGCTCGGTACGGGACATGCTGCCTGACAGTGTGCGCAATCGGCGGCCTGAACGAAGCTCCAGCGGGTAGAGTGGGCTGCGGGAGGTAAGAGGACCGAAAATCCACCTCCACCACGTATGAAGTCTTGGTAGTCTTGGTTGCGACAGCGTTTAATTGAGGAAAGACCTCGCAAAACGAACGGGCAGAGCCAGTACACAGACGATGACGATGATGATGACCCAGAGTGGCAATGAGGACAAAGAGACAAGCGGATGATGGTGATTGTGATCATGCAGCAGGGATGAGGACGATGTAAGTAACAAATGCCCACTATATATATATATATATATATATATATATATATATATATATATATATATATATATATATATATATATATATATATATATATATATATATATCATAAGAACACTTATGAAGCTAGCTTGGTAAAATATTGTTATGATCTCATTCGTCATTTTGTAGCTTGGCTAGAGTCGCGAAGGTTCAGGTATATGGAGAATGTGTGTGAGAAAAGGTGGAGGGAAGAGGAGAGAGCAAGCTAGAAGTCGAGTGGGATTTTTTATTTTCTTTTAGAAGGCTGAACAGTTCGGGCAGAGCTAACTTGCTCTGGAATGTATCTGAGCGCAGAAGAAAAACTGCAGTAAAGTGTACTGAGGGTGATTGGTAGAAGTGATGAGCATATACATACACCACGTAACACAGCGGCTACAGATAATCGTGTTCTAACCAATACTCTAGAGAAAATCCATAGCTGTCTTTGTAGTAGTGCGCACCAACTAGGAAGCAAGCATGCAATAAGATGCACCATGATCTGATTTGGAATTGGGTGATTGTGCTTGATAGAAGATTGCTGCACGAAATTCGCCTTCTTTTACTTTTACCACTGCAATGTTAACCAGCATAAACGACAGCGACCTTCATTGTACTGCGTAAGGAGGTTAGTCACGCAGTAAATGTTGTAACATCTCACGCAGTTGACAGCATTCACTGCTAAGGGTATTCTATTAGGTGCGCGTAGCGTTGACCAACAATTTCAATGTTTATTTTGAATTTACCTCTTGTAGCATATCTTAGTTGTTGTTTTTTCTTTAAATAAAGACTGGTCTAACGTAATAAACTAGTGGTGATTGAAACAACAATGTGACATTCGGCTTCTACGGCTACCCGCTGTACACATGTCAGGGCTTTTTATCGCTTGTAAATGTATTGATGCATTGATATGTATTCATTAGAATAGTCGCACTAGTTGTGATAACGATTGCGTGTATTTTCTTTGGGAATTGTTACAATTACAGCTGTCTTAATTTTGTTATATCACTGACAGAGGTCCGACTGAATTCTTTAAATTCATAAACATTATATATGATTAGTATGTAAACCTGTTAGTGATATATCATTCAGGAGGAAAATTAATGACAAAATACGATACCAACGGAACATGTGCCCTTAGTAATTATTTTTATTTTCCTACCATGGTCTCCAACAATTGAATGTGTTTCATATATACTGTAGACGTTCTAGGTCATAGTTTTTTTTTAGTATCGCATAAAACATTTTGCTTTTTCAAAACGAATGTGAAGACAAATAATGCAAGACATTTATAATATACATATATCTAGACAAACAAACATGGTATATCTTAAGTGAACTACACAGTCAATGTGCAAGCGCTGGCAATGTACAAGGGCCTAACGCAAGCACTTCATAGGCAACTCGTATCTTGTGGAAGCAGCGCGCTAGGCCAACTAACAGGCTATACCTCGCACTCTTCATAACAAATAGTGTGGACGTACATCGCGAAAATAATATAATAATGTTGGTCTTCAGTACTCAGCGAACACGTTTCCCGCACGTAGGAGTACGAGCGTGAGTGACAGTACTGAGTCTACAAATTCTCAAGCTGAGCGTCGTCGTCGGGAGGGTCGGGCCACGTGAAGTTGATCCATGGTAAGTGATTGACCCCGCACTTGAAAGCTCGCCTGAAGACCGGAGCGGAAGGCAGGGCGATGTTGCAGATGGCCTTCTATGGAATTCACGAAAAAATTGGCAAAAACACGTGTGAAAAAAGAATGTCAGCATTTTTAGTTTTAGTAGGACGTCAGCTTTATAACGAGCTGCTAAGTAATGACAAGACGTATGTAAACCATTGACGTGTGGAAGGTTTTTGGTTGGGGAGGGGGTTTTTGGTTGGGGTGGGGCAGCGTAGTTAGCGTTACTTTTTTTTTTGGTGGAGTGTGAACGAAAGAAAGGAAGCTTCCAAATGGATTCGGAAATAATAACGATGTCTCGCTTCTGGCAACGATCTGTCTCTGGTCACCGACTTTTCAGAGTCGTGAAGGTTTTCTGTTTCGCAACACTTGTCGTCCTCAGCAGCCAATATGATCAGCTTTTGTGCTCATATCTGCGAATATTAAACGTAGACGCAACAGGTCAAACTGAACAAATTTATCAAGCATACGTGGCGTTACACCCTTGTATTTTACTTGTCGTTTACTTCTTGTGAGACAACAATCTGATCTCGATACGTGACAACGCATTTCCTTCTCCCGTCAGGATGAACAGCCTAGAGAAGCTGGAGCTTCTTTGCCCTTTCTGGAACAACCGTTGCCAGACGTTTATTCTACCCCCGGCTAACAGAGACGGCGCCACAGCTACGCCTCGCGTCATCGCCAAGAAGCTTGAGCGCACCCAAGTGGCAACACTTACGTTTACTTCGAGACGGCGGCCTATATCACCACAGCGTGCGAAGCAGCTGACGAGGAAGAACAGCTGGTCCTCGGGCACCGTGGCGAAATACGACCGTCTTCCACCAGTCGACTCGCCCGCCTTCGTAGCGTCGTTTCTCCCAACTGCGGCCTTGGCGAGGCGAGGTATGTGGCTGGTGCTATGCACTGCCCAGCTGGTAAATAACAGCTCGCGCCTCTCGTTGGACGTGTGGTTCGCCAGAGCACCGCTTCTGTTGAAGGCAGTTTCGAAGCGCCTGATGTCCTTCACTAGAGGCTCAAGCTGGCGGTAGATTGGATTTGCTGCATCGTACTGCGAGAAGCCACAGGTGCAGAAGGCAAAGTTTTCGAGTAAAGCTGTAATGTCTGCATCCGAAGGTATGAACGCACCTGTGTGCCAACCAACTCAGCTCTGTTATTCCGAGTCCATTTACGTGTTCCTTGCCCCGACTGCGTTTACTTGACTTCTCTGTTGTGTGCGTGTTTCTATGACTAGTGTTTTCTTATACATACACACTGACTGACAACTCAGTCTATGTTTTAATGTTCAGTAGTCAAGATGGGCGCAAAATAATCAATAGTCCTTCAGAATAATAGAGTCGATTACAAAAGAGGGCAAGCGTTTGAAGAAGTAGCAGTAAGTTAGCCGGGACTAATACACTAAGAAGTCACTGGGAAAACATCACAGCATCAAAAACTAGAGTTAAATGAGGTAGCGCGGAAACTGACCTTTGCCTGACAGTGGACGTCTTCAAAAGCACGATGATAGTAACTCTTATGATGATGATTATGATATCAATGTTGCCTTGAAATCGCATAACGAACATTGCCCGCGAATGGCTACCCAGAACTTCGACATTACGAAGTAATCGTTAAGCAGGGGGTACTCACAAATCACGAATTCATCAGTAGTTCATTAAAAGTACTCTTCGGGCCATCTCTCACAATCATTTACTTACGTTTACCAAGTATTAATTACCACCTGAGTAACATTAGCCATGAAATGAGTCAACACTAGCCGACGTCACCCCACGCTACTGACACGTGAACGAAAATGGCATTTGAATTAGATCAGGAAGTGTGCTGATTGATTGATTAATGATTGATTCGTTTATTGATCGATCGATCGATTGATTGATTGATTGGTTGATTGATTGATTGATTGATTGATCGATTGATATGAGGCTTAACGTCCCAATACCACCATATGATTATGAGAGACGCCGTAGTAGAGGACTCCAGAAATTTCGACCACCTGGGTTTCTTTAAGAGGTCACGAAGTGTTGTCAGTCAGTACAGTTATTGAGTATTGGTGCAAGTCCAGGAATACGATGTCCGGGAAAAAAACGACACGCTTGAAACGGCCAGGTGGATGAAAACAGCAGATGGACCATGCGACGTTTCCAAAGGTTAACGGGACACAAAATGGGTAAAGCGAATTTCCATATAGATTTGCATCTTACCGAACGACGCTCATTTCAGCGAGCAGGCTATCAGTCATTTAGTCGAGCGCTGTGCGGAATGTTGACAGCGCACAAAATGAGGTCTAAACACAAGATGAGCGCCGACTGTCAACTGAAAGTTCATTAAAGCATTAATATTTATAATTGAACTTTTTTGCTAGTGCCAAGGCACATTTATGTTTATACTTTCGGAACGCTTACGAAATCAGAGACGATAGCTATATACTTGTGCATGTGGTTGCTTACTATGATATGTCAAGTTACATAAGCTCTTGATTTTGAAAATATACAGAAGCACGACTGAAGCGTTCCCCTGTCAACTTATGAAAGCTTACGCTTGTACTTTTCATTCTGTCTTCGTTCCCAATTTCCCACTGTTCTCGACAAAATAACTGGGAATTACCTTATAACATTGCAAAAAACAACCTCCACGTTACAACGACTAAAGTCTTTCCAAATCAGATATATAAACCACATGATGTAAATGCCGGTGCCGAGGCCGCCTTGTCTTCGTGGCTCATGTTGAACGTGAAGTAGTACTTCGAGGCCCTGTTACTGGTCAGCGTAAGTGGGCTAAATGTTCTCCACAGAAGCCAGAGTCTAAAATATTGCATGTTTCCCAATGTTTACCGAGGCAGGGACAGCCGATATACAGAATGAACACATAAAACACTGGCCTTCTCGACAGCCTGACGAAACGGCTTTGCAAGCTCTATTGCGCCTCGTAAGAATGACCTGGAATTTAGCAACACATCATTTGAGGTCCCATTGTTTCACTCATCTAATTACATCACTAATCTCTATCAATGTTTTGTCAACACAGTAGCACTTTGTGTGCGTTCTTACTTCGTCGCTAAATTGCCTGTGAACACATACAAACCACGCTTGCAAAGAACCTGCTTATAATGCGTGTGTGAGCGGGAGAGTGCCAGGTTGCGACTAAAACTCAAGATAACAATCGCACAAGGCACAAAGGACATGTAAGCAGGACGGCACTGCCGCGTGTCTTCCTTGTTTGCATGTCCCTTCCTTGCGTGATAGTTGCTGTTCACCATAAAGTTCTATAATTTCAGTTACCACTAACTAGCCTAAATTTCTGCTTTTGAATATTGTATCTCACGTTGCTTCGCCATAAATATGAGTGCTCATGGACGTACCGCATAGTCTTCATCAAAGTAGAAGACGAAGTAGCCTATGAGAACCAGCTGCTGCGCCATGACGGTGCCAACGAGAGCCGCGTTGACGGCGAAGGGAAACCACGGTTGTAGCAGCGGTGGCGACCTCATGTGATTGTGCACCACCACCTCGCGAGCCACCAGGTTGCGGTACAAGTAGTAGCTCGCGATGCCCGGCGGATGAAGCGCCAAGTGGCGTGGCCGGCGCATGGACTTCTTCAGCAGGTCGATGGTGACTCGCCAGCTGCGCAGAAAAAGCTCCAGACTCCCGCCCTTCTTGTCGTAAGGCACGTGCGCGTACTCGGCGTCCAGCAGACCCCAAGGGAGGCTCATGTTGTAGGCGTTGCTCAAGACGCGCTTTGTGACGGCCTGCGAAACACGCTCCGGAAGGCCTGGCCGTAAACGCGTCCCGCATCGTCGAAGGCCCGGCACGAGAGGCGAAGCATCTCCCACGTACTGGCCTTGTCGCCCATGGTGTCGTGCTCTGCTTTCCACTTGGCCAAGGGTAGCGTCAACTCGACCGCTTGCATGCACTTGTATCGCAGATACGCCGCCGCGAAGTTGGGCACGCCCATGTCGGCCATCATCGCTGCCGTGAGGTAACGCGACACGAACGGCGAGAGTAACCAGACCACGTAAGCGCCCAGGAAGAGCTTGAAGCCCTCGACGAGCTTGTGGTCGCTGAAGTGAGTGGCGTTCAACTTGTCGAACAACGCAGGCTGCAGGTTCACGATGTTGTCCTCCGGCCACAGCTGGGAGTCGTCCGGAAGGTGGCCATTCAGAGCCCGCCTCAGCTCGGAGTCCCTCAGGCTGAAGAATACGGGAACCGTTGTGCGAGACCACAGGACCTTGACCGTCCGGGCGATGTTGAAATGCGCGACGGTGACGGCATCGATCATGTGCGAGTACGACTGTCCCGTGCCGCCAACGATCTCTGCGCAGCGCCTCAGGTACTGGCGGTGCCGAGCGCGCCTGACGAGCTGCTCGAAGTCTCCAATCCACTCGAGACAGCGTTCGTCCAGTGTCATGTAGATGGTGTTTTCGTAGGGTCGCGACGGGTGGTGACCCACGTAAAAGGACCAGAACGCGTAAATGCCGAAGCTCAGCGACGACTTCACCAGGATGTCCAGAAGCGAGGACCGCGTGGCTGAGGACCTGTGTGGCCATGGAAGACCGAGGTCCAGCAGCAGCTTGCGAAGGGTCGAGCTGTCGTGCCTGCCATACGGTGATCCCTGACATAAAAAAGCAATCAGTAAGGGCTGTTTTACTTCTAGCATTACATCGAGCATCTCGCAGCAACTTGCGATAGTGATCGTTGCTGTTATCGCAAGCAAATAAGATGGTTACTTCTATTTAGCGCTACAAAACGCACGAGAGATTGCAGTACTAATGCGTATTGTTTTGTCGCTCGTGTTCACTAAAATAAAAAGGGGAAGTATTCTCTAACTCTGCCAGCAACAACAAGTCCTTATAAAAACAGCCACCAGGACAATAAGCCACTGCCCCACCGCGGTGGTCTAGTGGCTAAGGTACTCGGCCGCTGACCCGCATGTCACGGTATCGAATCGCGGCTGCGGTGGCCACATTTCCGATGGAGGCGGAAATGTTGTAGGCCCGTGTGTTAAGATTCGGGTGCACGTTAAAGAACCCCAGGTGGTCGAAATTTCCGGAGCCCTCCACTACGGCGTATCTCATAATCATATGGTGGTTTTAAGGATGTTAAATCCCACATATCAATCACAACAAGCCACTATTCTCAAGAATGGGTAGATGAATGCAAATCTTTTTTGATAGTCCTGTGGTGTACGACTAAACGTCACATTTTTCAACTGAATACGCATGAATATGCGACCTTTGACAAACATTATCAGCATCACACCTTCCACCAAAAAAGAAGAATTTGATATTTACGTACTACAACTTCCTAATTGCGGTCGAGCCTATAGACGGTTTCGCCAGAGCCTGCCGGTCTCTAGCAAAATTTTGCGTTCACCAAAAAATCACCCCTGAAAACTTCCGGTTTAGCTTGTTCTTGCGTGGTTTTAGCATTTGTTGTTGGCCGCGGCTGCTCGTGTTCAGATGTATTATGCAGATAAAATTGTTCCGGCGAAGCGCTGGCAACTCGAGCACAGCTGTGTCAAGTCAGGATGGGGTCTAAATGTCTGAATCAATTTTATATGCTAGTCAAACATTGTTTTATGGCCGATGACGATAGAAAGAGCGCCTGCATTGCAGCGATCACACGAAAAAACTGGATGCCGGCTAAGAGCACATAGGTTTGTTCTACAAACTTCATCAAAGGCAATGTAAAGCTCAGCGCACACTAATGGCACAGAGGCGATACTCTGACGTTGGACTAGTCGAAGGCCCCTGGTTACCGGGAACACATCAGTCACTGTCGCCTTTCACTCGTGGCCGATAAGCATACTTATGCCTGAAATGGGTAGCAAAACGTGGAAGCTAACACTGAAAACATCGCAAAGGTGTTTATTTCATAGTTTGAGCTATATCAATGATACGTACTGTTCGAAACAACACGGGACGCAAAGTAGCCGCGCTTAACATTGATCGCCGCACAGCGTACGTCATGGTGGCCACATTTCGTTGTCGTTCCATTTGAATTTTTTTAAGTGATGCCGTCGAGTGGGCTCTCATCTGTGTGAGCAATTATGAGTCATCGCCTGTTTTTCTGTCGCTAATGAACATCGCCGCATTCAAGCTAATTTATATTTTGGGTATGAACATAGACTATATTTTGGCAGGTTCGGCTTGAAAGTTTGATTCATGAATAGCTTACTCGCGAGTAAACCGTAATATTTCGTGTGGCCCTGCAGCCGCAGTAGACTTATCACATTAGAGGATTACAGGTTTTCTAACAACAAACAATATATTTGCAAAGCAACAGCGAGAATTCTGCAAAAATTAACCTACTGAGTCTGCTCGGCTCAATTTTAAACAAAACTTATATATAAAATTGAAAACGAATTCTGTATTTCAGGGAGGCATTTCACAGTATTCAACACAATCTGATTTTACGTAAACTTCCGTAATACGGCATTCAGGGTACCATTGTCCAACCAATACAAAGCTACTTGTCATCCAGCAAAAAATATACAACCATAAAAAATATACACTTTTAACTCAAACTCGCTAAGTATGGCGCCCCAAGGAATCTATCCTTGGACCTGTCGTATTATTGCTGTTCATTATTGATATTGTAAATATTGATGGATATAAAAAATAATTTTGTATGTCGATGACACCAACGTATTCTTTGCGGGATCAGGCATATGTAAATTATATAAAGAAACCAACATATGAATGAACAAGTTAAATGTATAGTTAAACGTGTAAATTATATATGTAAATTATATAAAGAAGCCTACATCTGAATGAACAAGTTAAATGTATAGTTAAACGTGAACAAACTTCCACTGAACGTCTAAAACAAAACACATAATCTTCAAACCAAAAGTGCTAACTTGCATTCCATGCGCACCAGTTTAATTTCAGGGCAGTGAGATTCAGCGAACAACAATAAAATGTCTAGGAATTCTACTTCGAGAACAACTTTCTTGGACCCCTTACATAGACACTATAACAAAAAAAGGTCTTCGCAGAAGAATCGGCATTTTAAATAATCTGAGGTACTACTTCCCCACAAATATCACGCGACAAATTTACTATGCTCTAGTACACACACATGACTAACATGATGTTCCTTACTGTGGTGAACAACGACTATCACACACTCTATTTCGCTTTTAGTGCTACAAAAGCGTGCCATACATGCGATATCTAACACTCGATTCACTCCACGAAAATATTCGGACATATTTCAAAAGCTACAAAATATTGCCTATCAATCAGTTATACAGACACAAGCGACGTTTGGAGATACTACGCCAGTATAAATTAAATACATCTCTAGAATACATATTTTGTCAAACAAACACCATATGAACTACGTAAGAATATGCATATCTAGATTACGCACAATCTGCGGCGACCAACGGTTAATGTGACGCATGCCCGACATCTTAAATCAATACCCTACCTTAGTTCATTTTGTGCAGGATGAATAATCATTTAGTTAATTAAAAAATAACAAGATAACTCCCAACAGAAGAAAGCTATGATGCCTTTGATTCTTGAAATTTTGTGACTATGTCTGTCTTGTATTTCTGTGCACCTTGTTCATTATGGCATGTGACTTTTTTATTACATTGCTGTAAATGACATGTTTGAGTCATAGATAATACCTCTTTTAAAATTTCTTTTGAGTACATTTTCAGAGTTTTCACCAGTTGGACATAAGCGCGTCTACTCATGTCGTTTTTTTTTCCTGTATAATTTCACATTGTGAGCCCTCATTGTTAGTATTCCCAGCATTATAGTGCATGTGCATTATATTTTTGTGCAGTTTACTCGAAATAACGGCGAGAAGCTACTACTATTTTTTGAAGTACCCGTTCGTTGTACCAACACCACTTTAAGACAGCTGTGCTTATATCCTTGTGCACTCACATCATACTTGTTTACTCTTGCAACCATTTCGGATGATTATGTACCAGTGCATTCTGTTCTACAAACGCTTGTTGGTGGGTTTATGTTTTGCTGCCAGGGTGGCACGGCATAGTCAGGCGTTTACTCAGCCTTTGGCCGTGTAGCCCAAGACAAATTGAAACAATTTTAAATGCGAAGCAATTCTTGATTGATTTGTGGGGTTTAACGTCCCAAAACCACCATATGATTATGAGAGACGCCGTAGTGGAGGGCTCCGGAAATTTTGACCACCTGGGGTTTTTTAACGTGCGCCCAAATCTGAGCACACGGGCCTACAACATTTCCGCCTCCATCGGAAATGCAGCCTCCGCAGCCGGGAATCGAACCCGCGACCTGCGGGACAGCAGCCGAGTACCTTAGCCACTAGACCACCACGGCGGGGCGCGAAGCAATTCTTAGCGAACTTCGGCGACTTTGAGCCGCTTACGTTTGGGTGCTCTCGGGGTCACCCCTTTGACTTGGCGTGAACCAAAATTAGCATGGGAGGGTAAAATGGTTCAACGAATACGACGCACGGGTAAAGGCATAAATAATGTCTCAATGCCGTCGAGTACATCTTCAAACACTTCCCGCTAGACTGTGGCACATACCCACGGGCGGGTATGTGCCACCGGTGATTGACACTTAGCATCTACCCTGGAACGACGAGAACACACATTGACAATTGTAACGCTCGAGCATTAAGAAATACCCGACTTAGGTAGCGCCGACACGACAAATGCAAAGAATAAATGTCTGGGTCTCAGCTGAAATCTAACCAAAGAATT